GACCTGACCAAGCGTCAATATGTTGACAAGTTGGGAGTGAGAATGGGTTGACAGAGTATAAAAATATCTACGCAGCACCAGGAGAACCTAAATTAAAATTTTTGGCACTACTAGAAACTCCAAGTACACAAAAAAATGCATTTAACTGCTAAAAAATTGGATTTTGCACATGTCCCCTTTATGGTCATTGGTTTATTCTGCATCAATCCAGACATAAAACTAAACCTGGGGCTTTTATTTTGACACAAATTATCTACTAAACTCATACTCTAAATCAGACCTAAAGAACCACCTGAAGCCTGAAAAATAGACAGTTTTAGTATCGACTGGATATGATCAGATTTGCATAAACTCAGCAGCAGCTTCACTCCATCAAGCATCAAGTACCTGCTTCAAGACTCTTTGGAGAGAAAGGCTCAACTTTAGTGTCTTTTAAAAGCCTTGCCTTTCCTATTTTGTGTAAATTGTACATACAGTACAAGTTTTCAGGAAGAATAATCCACATAACGTAATGGGATGTTTTTATAGCAAAAGACAATTAAGTCTAGTGCAAAACTCTTATGTAACTAAAACTAATTTAGTGTAAAAAAAAACTATATAATCAACACTGTTTCACAGATTCTGCCTGAATCCATCCTCCTCATATTCACAGACGTGTTTATAACATGAACACAAGTAGGGCTTCAACAAACTTTTTTTTAAAAGCATCATTTGTTTGTCTACATCATGAGAAATGCCAAAAATAAGCAAGAGGCCAACAAACTTTTCCAGCAGCAGCAGAGAATCGGTGATCCACCGTCTCCGGCTGTGCTCAGTGCCTGTTTTTGTTTCCAGGTTATGCCTCTACAAACAAGAACATGCTGCACTGTGTTACAGTTGGTTGTGTATGAAAATGACAAAACACACAGAGACACCCAGCGTTTGCATCATACAGAGAAACACACATCCACACGAAGAGAATTGATCTAAATAGGGCATAAACCTGGCAGCATGTAGCATACAGAAATAGTCCGTATAAAGTTTCTCTCCATGCCTTTTTAACAAGCATTCGTTCCTTTAATGCGAGTGAGATTTTATTGACGAATCACTTATTGAAGCTAATGTGGGAGAAAATAATGTCAGTTAAATTTGACAAGTTTCATATTTTTGTCTAACTGAGCAWACACATTCAAAATGTTATGCATTCCTTCTCTTATTACATCCCRTCTGGCAACAGGACAGTTTCCCAACATGTTGATGGAGCAAAAGAAAAATAGATTTTTTTAAGTGCACTTGTCCTCCATGCCCGGATATGAAACACACACAGCCAGTCATTAGTCCTGCGCTGACATTAACATGGCAYGACAACCGTGTCAAGATACATATTAAAGATGTCTCTTTTGATTTTTCTAAGGGTTATAGTCCAAAAACTTATGAGCGACCACCTGTTCAGAGTAAATCAGATCATTATCAGCATTACACAGCTGTGTTTTACAGTTTAAGTGTAAAAAAACAACAAGCTGTTAGATAGGGCTGACAATTTACTGATACTGCTGGAAGAAAGACTTAACCACTTGCTCGTGTTAACACTGACTGGTTCCAAATTAGAAATTATGCAGCTATTAGTGAATGTACACTATGAAAGGTCAAATGGTCCGCACATTAAGCAACATGACACACATTGTCTCTCTCTCTCTCTCTCACACACACACACACACACACACACACACACACACACACACACACACACAC